AGTGAAGAAAGGGGAGAGAAGGAGAAGAGAGAGAGAGAGAGAGAGAGGGGAGAGAGGAGAGAGAGAGAGAGAAGAGAGAGAGAAGAGAGAGAGAGAGAGAGAGAGAGAGAGAGAGAGAGAGAGAGAGAGAGAGAGAAAGAGATAGGCGGACGGTAGGGAGTTGCGAAAGAAGAGCATACAAATATGGAGACTTGGGACACGCTAAGGTGATTGCTTCAGTGTGGGTTGGCTGCGGCTGACGACAACAAGCCTTGATAAAAATTTGCCCCGAAGCGCGCCGTAGGCCACAGGCCAGTACACTCAAAACAAAAACAATATTTTCTCGTTTCAAGGAATTTTTTTTTTTGAGTGTAGGGTGGAATGCACATTGTCGATGGCCCGACGAAAAATTAAACGGGACTAACTGAACTGATGGGTTCGCGATTATACTCTAGACGAGGCATTCAATTTCGATAATAAAGTCACACTGAGCGCAACGCTGTAAACCTCCGGTCGCCTTTTGCTCGGTTGACTGGTTCCGCAAGCAGTCATTTTCGTCGCTCTGTCTCTCTCGCACCTACACGGGACGCTCCGTGAGTGGGAGAGAGACAGGGCGCGGCGGACGTGCCTGTTGGCTGGCCTGTTGGCGGGACTAGACTCGTCCCTGTTCGAGGAGGGCAGCTTAGCGATTCCCAGAGAAAGACGATGGCGCTTGTGGTGATGTGCCCTGGGGCACAAAGGAGGCGGGGAGGGGGAGGGGTGTTTGGAGAGGACTCGAGATGGCTTGAGTTACGCCGGAGCCCGGATGGGGCAGGGCAGGGTTGGCAAAGGGGGGTGAGGAAGGGGGGGGGAAGGAGGTGTACAAGGCACAAGGGCAGCGGGAAGGAAACTCCGGCCGCTCCATTTCGGCGAGTCCGGAAAGTTTCCTTCTCTTTCCCCCGCCCGGCCCGGCGCGGCACGGCACGGCAGGGCAAGGTGCTGCTGCACGCCGCTGGGCCGGTGGTGCCCGGTGGCGGCGGGGCGGGGCGGGGCGGGCCGGGGCGAGCCCCAAGTTGTCGGAATCGGACGCGGCCTTCAAAGTGTCCTCGGTGGAAACCTTGTCAGTTTCAAGCAAAAGCGTGTGCGACGAGAGGTGCCTCCAACGGGGCCTGCCTGGCCCTGCCTGGCCCTGCCGCATCCCAGCGGTTCCGAAAAACCGTTTTTTCGTCGCTGTGTCCTTGTCTTACTCATGAGGCGTTGCGTAGGGGTCGCGAGAGAGGCATAGCCACGACACATTCCTTTGAAATGAGGGCCCGGCTTCAGTCTTTAGACCCGCGGTCAGCCTTCGGGCCCGGTATCAGCCTTCGGGCCCGGTATCAGCCTTCGGGCCCGGTCAGGCCCAGCGCAGAAAGTTAGTGGGGCTTCGGTTTGGCTCTCGAGGGCAAGCGGGACGAGCCGAAGGAGGTAAAGGCCAGGAGGGCGAACCGCACGGTGTGGGGAAGGCAGGGGGCTGGCCCGGGCTGGCCGCACCGTCAAGGAGAGTACACTGTTAAAAATAAATATTGTTCCCAAACTAAGGCGGATAATCGCACTCCGTAACAGAGGTGTTCTAAAGAAAGGCCCAGAGTGCCCACCCGTTGAGGGAGAACGATTAGCCGCCTTAGATTAGATGGCTGCCTAAAGTCGGACCAAACCACGATTTCTACACATTTGTGACCGTTTCGACAAACTTTTGCTGCAATACCGCTCCCAAACTAAGGCGGCCAATCGCACTTCGTAACAAAGGTGTGCTAAAGAAAGGCCCAATCTTGTCAAAGATTGACGAGATTCTCGAAACAGTGTATGAATTGGTAATCTGGGAATCAATCAGCAGGGCGCCGCACCGTCGTGTTTTTGTTCGTCGGCATTCCCAGCGTTCCCAGCGCGACGGCGCGATGCGGAGAGCCGATCCCGGAATGGTTCGTCTCGCTCCGTCTCACTCGCACTCTGCGGGACGCGTCCATGAGTGCGACGGAGACACGGGGTTTTCTTCTAGAGGCAAAGCAGCGGCGGGGCAAAAAGTTGAATAGAGGCACGCCGCTCGCACGCCGCTCGCACGCCCCGCGGCCCCCCAAGGGAAAAGGGGGGGGGGAGGGGAGTTGTTGCCTCCGGGACGAGCAGCTTCCATGTAGAATGCGACATCCACAGGCCATTTGCGATAACCCGGCTCATTTAACTCGGAGCAGTGACTCTTTACTCCGCTCCCCGGCACCGCCCCGCCCCGCCCCGCCACGCCCCGCCACGCCCCGCCCCGCCCCGCCCCACCCCGCCCCGCCCCGCCCCACCCCGCCCGCCCCACCACGCCCCGCCCCACCCCGCCCCGCCACGCCTTGGCAGAGCTGCCAGCCTGTTGGGCGGCAGGCGGATGATGGCCGAGTAATTTGGTGGCGCTGGAGGGGGAGGGGGGGGGGCAAAAAAGAGCGTCGGAGTAGCGTGGCGCGCTGGACGCGTCTGAGAGAGACAGTCAAACTTATTGTCCGAATCATTTCGCACAAAACGAGCGAGACGGAGCGCACGCCACAACGGACGGCGTCAGTCGTGTAACGGAACGGGCGGTGTAGAGGAGGTGGGAAACCAGAGAGAGAGAGAGAGAGAGGAGAGAGAGAGAGAGAGAGAGAGAGAGAGAGAGAGAGAGAGAGAGAGAGAGAGAGAGAGAGAGAGAGAGAGAGAGAGAGAGAGGGGTGGGGGTGAGGGTGGAAGCGACCTTGGGGACCTGTGACTAATGCGAGGGGGAGGGGGCGGCCCAGTAACACGAATCCCCGACGTCATTTCATGTCATTACGGCGGAATTCGGACTGCCGTCAGTCTGTGCAAACTAAAAGCGGCATCGTTTTTGATGATGGCCAAGTTTTTATCATTATCCTTCCGGCGGTGACCTTGAACTTCCCTGGATGAAGTAGTTGGTTATAGCAAAGTATTTTAAACATACACGAGCTTTAAAAAAAACAAAAACTTCGTACATTACGGTTATTTTTACGCCTTTGTTGCAGCAGTGACGTACACGAATTTTACCTCGGTGAAGTAGGTTTTAAATTGAAAGCTTTTTTTTTTTCAAGGATCGTCCCTTTTTCTCACAGCTGATCGTTACCGGCTGCTCCCCGCCCCCAAATTTTTCACAAACAATAATTTGGCCGGGAATGGGCGGCGAGGGTCGCCGGGTTTTGCGGCGACAGGGCCGCGCCATAACGCGCGATAACAAGCACGGGGACCAGACTGATTCCGAGCTGTCTGTCTCTGTCGCACCCGTGTGGCACGGCCCACGAGTGCGAGAGAGACAGACAGGCCTCGCACCCGGAAACAGTCTGCTGGCAGCACGGCGTGGCGCCGCGTCGCTCCCTGATTTGGTTGGACACCCTCCGGCCTTCTGTGGGGAAAGGGCGGCACCGGCGTCCTACACTATGAAAGTCTTACGGTGAAGGGTTCTCCATGTTATTATGTGACGCATTCGACTTACCTCTGAAAATTTTTTATACCTTATGGCAGGGGTGCGATTGTTCAACTTCTATGTAAAATCTTTGTTCTTGTACAAATTTTGTACGAGATGTTAAAATTTTTGAAGCCCGCCCTTGACGCTCCAAATTGTTGCCAGAGTCCTTCGTCATTGCGGGCCTGCCGTGACTCGCATCCTCTCATCGCGTCGCGGCATCCTGTGGGCGCCTCTCGCAGGAAGAGCCGAGAGTCAGTCGCGTCCCGAAAGACGGAGCGCGCCGCAAAGGCTTCCTTCCGGCTCAGACTTTTCAGTTTGGCAGGCCAGGAAGAGCACAACGGGGGGAGGGGGCTGACAGGTAGGCAAAAAGCAATTCTTTGACTCTCTGAACAGGCAGAAAGTGGCGCTTCGCCTCCGCCTCCCAAGGCTGCCCCCGGATCCACCACTGGAACGTCACCGAAACATTGTCGTCTTTGACTGCATGCATATAAATCAGGGGACAGGCTCTGCCGTACTAAAAACAACGCAAGGGAAACAATGAGAGAGCGAACGGCGCGTGGAGCTTTCCATCCGTCACATTTTTTTAAAAGGGGAGGGGGTGGAATATTTTGCAGTGGTGTGGACGCGTCGCGGTGTCGTTCTGGCCTCGCGACTTGGACGCGTTGGGCTGGGGCTGATTCGACCTTGGGGCTGGAATACAACCCCCCGCGCGCTGGAACCTCTTCTCTCCGCCTCGCCCCACCTCACCCCGCCCCGCCTCACCCCGCCCCGCCTCACCCCGCCCCGCCTCACCCCGCCCCGCCTCACCCCGCCCCGCCTCACCCCGCCCCGCCTCACCCCGCCCCGCCCAACCCCGCCCCGCCACACCCCGCCCGTCCCGTCCACTGGACCGAACAGCGTCCGCTGGCGATAATGTTCCGTGAAGAGCCACCCGATACCTCGGCCACCCTCTGCCACGCGTTCCCACACCCCCAGTCTCACCTTCCGGCGGAGCCCACCACCCAGCCACACCTCCGTGCAGACGGTCAGAGCTCACGGCGGGAATGATCAATCATGATTTCGGAGGTGAA